CGGGCTCGAACCCGCGACCTCTGTACTACATACCGGATACGGACGCATCACTATCTACTGTACGATTAGATTAGATGGGGCGGCAGCGCACGGCACAGCTCGGGCTCCGCTGACATAGCCGCTCTGACTCACCGGCCCCCGGGGCCGCGTCGGCATGCTGCGCACAGACCAGCTGCGCACGGACCAACGCGCACAGCCTGCCCTAATCTCCCCATGTATATAAGCCGGCCTCTGCTGCCCTAGGGACCTCAGTTTCGACCTCTTGTCCCTAGGTCAGTAAGCTCTCTTGTACTTACTTATCTTCCCTTACTAACTAATATATTCTTGTCCCTAGCCTTAGGTTTGAGCCTAGCTCACCATCGCTTCGGTAAGATAAGTCGAACGCCCCCAGCGTTTGGTTTTCCCCTGTCGCTCGACCCTAAGTCGCGACACAGCCCCGCGTGGTCAGGAACGAGCTCGAAAGCTCAGGCGCGCGAGTAGCCGGGGGCTGGAGGCCCCTATCGTAGTATATAACGACCGAAGCGCGATGTACGTACCGCGCGCGATTGTCCCTTACGGGCATTGCTACGCCCGTGGACAAACGCGCCCCGCGCCGTTTGCACTGTTGTTCCAACAAACTCAAGGACGTCGTCCGCGGACCAGCCGCATTGGGCACGCAACTGGTGGGTATGGTCGTTGTCATGAGTTGGTATGGTGTCTAGCCGTTTTTTAATTTTTTCCATTTCACGGGCTCGAACCCGCGACCTCTGTACTACATACCTGATATGGACGCGTCGTTATCTACTGTACGATTAGATTAGATGGGGCGGCAGTGCATGGCACAGCTCGGGCTCCGCTGACACAGCCACTCTGACTCACTAGCCCCTGGGGCCGCCTCAGCATGCTGCGCACAGACCAGCTGCACACAGACCAGTGTGCGCAGCCTCCCCTAAACTCCTCCTGTATATAAGCCGGCCTCTGCTGCCCTAGGGACCTCAGTTTCGACCTCTTGTCCCTAGGTCAGTAAGCCCTCCATTGTATTCTTTCTTACCTCACTAACTAATACATTTACTTGTCCCTAGCCTTAGGTTTGAGCGTACCTCACCATCGCTTTGGTAAGACTTAGTCGGACACCCCCAGCCTTTAGGTTTTCTCCAGTCGCTTGACCTCAAGTCGCGACATTAGGTCGAAACTCCCCAAGCTGCCGGCATCCTCACGGGACTTCTACATTCACCTTCCTTTCCCACAGGTTGGGTGGTGCGCACCCCTACAATACCCTACGGTACATACGATACATAGATAGCCCTACTATACATCGCCACCCCTAGAGGAACGAACTCTTCAGCACCTGCACTTCAGTGGGCGGTGTTTGTCCTCACAGACGCGTGGTCTAGGTTCCTGCTGCATACTAGCCAAAAGCAGTACTGGGCCCCACGTGAACTGCGAACCTCAGGGTCTTCTCAGGTGCCGTAGCGTAAGCTAGTGTAGTACGGCCATTTTTAGTACGTGCACCTCCCTGTCCTCCCCCCATCCAATGTGGCTGCCTGCCAAGGTCAAGTTCACGCATTCGACTCTCAGGACCTTATCGACGTCTACCTCCCAGACGGCCCTGAGCCTGCCCTCTACCATTGCAAACAGCAGCCGTGCCCTAACCGGACACCCCAATCGATCGCGGAAGATTACCCGCGCTACAAGGCGATCCGACGAGCACAACATCCGCTCGGCCCTCGAAGCACCCTTGCATCTTGATCTGCCTCGCGGCACTCTCGCCCTGTCTCCCCTACCTCCCACCTTCCCCAAACTATTGCCGAGTCCAGTCGAGTACAAGGAGATCTCCCTCCAGACCCTGCACCAGAGCCTGAGCCTGAGGAGAGTGCGAGTGAAGAAGGAGTCTCGGAGTCCGAGTCCGCGGATCCTACTCGGGCCGCCTCGCCAGCAGCGCTCGCCCCCACGTCAGCAGTCCCTGACGTACGTGACCCCCCCACCGAACTTCCTTCGGCGCCTTCACCGCCGACTCCACTGAGAGGCCGCTCGAGCACTCGCTCCTCTCGAAGTTCAACCAGCGGAGGGCCACCACAGCCGCCTCCGCCCCCGCAGCATCCTCCGTCCCCCCCGACGCCGATAATGTTGTTCCCTGTAGCAACCCCCGACAAGGAGACTTTGAAGCTCCTCCTCCCACTCCGATACGATGGCAAAACCGTCATCGCGTGCGACAGATTCCTGTTGCAACTCCACATTTATTGGTTGATCAACACGTCGTTGACAACCATCGAACTCAAGGTGCAGGTTGCGCTTAGCCTGCTCGACGGAGATGCCCGCTGTCACAGTTTCCCTAATTTTACCTAATTTTTCCGCTATTTCTGCGGACATATCAAAGGGTATAGGGACTTATCCATACTTATCCGTCCGCATATGGGTACAGCTGCATATCTAAGGGGTTATCCGCTTAAATAAGCGACACATGATCTTGTTCTGGACACATCAGGCTGGACTCTGATGCCGGACCTTTTCTAGATAGAAACCAGACTCCTTCTGGACCATGACATCATTCTGACATCATAGGTAGGAGCTAGGCTCAGGCACTAGGCCATAGGCCGGTCAATTCTAGACCCTAGGCCCAGGGCAGGGCAGGGCCAGACTATGACATCATATATGACATCATAGAGCACATGATACTTAGTAATCCTTACCCAGCTAGGTACCAGGGGTCCATTACCGGTCCCTGGGGGTTTCCTCGATGTATATAAAGCAGCA